GGTGGGGTGGGGAGGGGGAAGAGAAATATATAGAGTATGCACTTGTTTACAGAGCTACAAACTGCAAATATTCATTCTTCAGGCCAAGCAGCACCTTTTACTCTTTAAAATGAAACAAACATGCACGGAAATGTGTGATGTAGTTTGTTTGTTTACATAGGAAGAAAGAAACCTAATTTTCTGAGGTTTGTGGTAAGGGGTGTGTATTATTACACCCTCCATTCTGATTTTGATGTCTAGCGAAGTTCACATGACTCTCAAAGATAAAAACATTACATCAACAATTTATCAAGTCAGAATGTTAATGGTGGAACACTTTATGACAAGTGAAGCCAAATGTGTGTACATAGGTTACTCTTTTTGTTTATCTGGATATTTATCTATTTCTTCTCCTTGACAAAAGTTTTTTCCATTTATGGAGCTATTGGGAAGGTGGGACAAACGATCTTCTGATTTGCGTGTAATAAGTAATGAGATATTCCACCTTATAAAAGTGAGCATTGTTTTGACATCCTCAAAAAGAAACAACATTCAATTTGAAGTTGATGGGACAAACTCTAAATTGTTAGTTTAGTGACCTAAGCAAATATAGAATCAACTGATTTTGTGAAGGGATTAGGAAGAGCATATCACGATTCATGTCTATTTACTAAGTGATCCATGTTCTGCCATTAGCTTTTCTAGTAATTCTACGTATTGATTTTGACGTCAGAAAGGGGAAAACGAAAAGATGATCCCAACAACTTAAATTCAAACTCAAAGTCGTACTTATGCATATCGACCCAGCTCACTCCAGGGCTCATGGCAGAAATGACAGCATCGTGAGCGTCGAGGACAGCCTGCAAATAATAGTGATTTTATCATATAATGAAACAATAGTTATATGATCTCAAAGCACATGAACCATGGAAAATCACATTCAGAGGTCCTATAAGCTTCATATTCTGTCATAATACAGGCCTTACCAATGAGACAAATGAAGGTAGAAGGCTCAGAGAGGTACATAGTTTGCATCAGGAGTTCAGGAACGCTTCCAAGGTGGGGTTTCAGTCAAATTAGGGGAACTCTAGAGACTAAAATCTGTAGTTTGATCCTAAACCAAATAATGCATTTTCTTAATAGAAGGAAATCTAACCAGTTCACAAGCATATCTTATGCACCAATTACATTTACTCAGAAACTGCACAATGCAAAACATCAACTGGAGGTAATACAAATGAGATGCACATTATATTCCCATCTCAAGGAGGTATGTAAGCATTATCCTATTCTGCGCAAAAGAGGATACTCACAGTATATACAAGTGACTGGTCACGAGTAAATTTCCCATTTACCTGCAAATCCACAAGTGGAAATCATAAGGGATATAAGCTGCAACTATAAGCTGCACTTAAGGGTTTCAAGACGGAGGAGGACCAATTTCAGGTTACAGCCAAAACACACAGGAAGCTGCATCTAGTATATATGGTCACTACTATATAGTAAAATAATTGATATTTGAGCAATTTTTAAGTGATCACAAGAAGAGGGGCAGCGATGTGGAGAGGGTATCCAAGCACACATATTCAATGCTGAGTAAGAGCTTTCTAAAGATTAAAGACCAATATTTACATTTAAGCATCAATTTCCAATTCTAAAGTCTAAACCAATACTGTCTGCTAGCAATAAGTACTTACTGGCACATACACATAAAATGCAAGAGCCGGTCATGCAATGGCTACTCAAATAACAGCTAAAATTGGAATAAAAGCTTAGTGCTTAACATGAAAGATCCTCACTATCTAAACTTTGGATAAGCAATAAGCAAAAGAAACATGAACAGACTGAAAGACATCCAAACAAATGCAAAGCAGAATAGTGAACCAGCAAATTATCACAAGATAATTAATGTGGAATGGTAAACAATATTACAGTGTGCTTATTATGTTCAGGGTATATGTTGGTCCACATTTCCTCCAGGAGAGTGAAGTGCATATAATTTTCATGTGAATGTTTATTGTTATTATACTTCTATATGGCACTCGATATAAGAACTTTAACAAGCACGTTGCAACATGATGGTACACTTCAATGTGCCCACAAAATGTTAAGGACACGTGCACTCACTGGAAAGGAACAAGTTATGTCAGACCCATAAAAGTGGTATTCAGCTCCCATATCAAGAAGAGCCATATCTCCCTCTCGCAATGTCTGCAGAAAAGGAAAAGTGTAATGTTAGTGTGGATAGTGTATATCAATTAGTTGAACCCTTATATAACTCAGAGTAGTGGAAGCCTGTTATAGGAGATCATATTGACGCAATGTCTGACTATCAGCATACAGCAACAGACAGATAACTGGGTTCCAGGTTGATGACCTTTCCAGACATTCAAGGTAATCATCTATACCACACCAAAAGGTAAAGATGGATACAACATCAATATCAACCATAGTTGATATAGATAAAAATGAAGCACTTGATTTATGTTTATCCCAGAAAAGAGACGAGTTTTTTTACAACTTCCATGCAGATCGGAAGACCAGCAGTAAAGGAGGGATACAACATATTAAAAAGAAGAACACAAATAACATACCTTGTCATTTGGAGCTGCTGCATGACCATAATGGAGTACAGCACTGCAATAGAATATGGTAGCATTAGCTGATAATTTGAAAATTGATCTCAAATCTAGCTTTGGCTCTTTACAGAAAAAACTCTACCTCAACCCCAAAGCTAGTTGGTGTTGACTCTTAACCATTCACATATAAGATAAATTGATTTCTAATTTGGTCGATAAAACGTAGTTGCCATAGTTTAACAATGGTTACTTGTATTTCTAACGGTAGTATTTGGACAGCTACAAGATCAAATCTAAGTGACATCCCTGATCTTGAGACACCATCTAGAATTGGGAGAGAGAAACTAAAAAAATGCTTCCTACTTTTCTTTCTTTCCAAATGACCCACTACCCTATTTTAAAATTTACTTCGCTTCTCAAATAAGGTGAGATGTGAGAACCGCCCCACCTAAAAGCATAAATTTTAGAGGACGGGAAAATTTACTTAGTTATTCATCCCTCGAGCATGTTCTATGATGGCAGCAGCCTAAAGCACACATAATGTATTAAGCTCATTCCAAAGTCAAATCAAAATGCTTATAAGAAGGTAGTTACATCATTCTTTATAAATAAAAAAAGAAGAAAGAACTTCATCTACAGAATTACAATCGGCTGAAAATTTGACCCATCGTGTCAGTCTCATTGGTCGCCCGGAAGGAGGTGTTCTGAAAGAAGCCACTCAGCTTCCTTAAAAGCCTACATATACTAGATAATGTACTTCCAGCTCTCCTCCACAACAATGCAGCCTAGAGCACGTCTTTTGAGTCAATGTAGGACACACACACACACACACGCACGCACACAAAAAAAACACATATATATATATATTTCATAGACACCAAAGACTAGCTCATTCCGCGATCTTTAGGTTATATAGAAGTTAGTGAGCCAGATACCAGGTCTACCACCCATTANTTTTTTTGGGGGGGGGGGGGATTACCCTTTTGGACATAAGAATATTTTCACTTTTTTTCGAAATCAGTGTTTGGCCATAAAATTTTCAATTTTCACTTGAAGATAAATTTTGGAATTTTTCGAAAATTTGAAAAACTCCAAAAAACTGTTTTTCAAAATTTTCACCACTCACAAAAATTCAAAAACAACCCAAAATTATATTCATGTCCAAACACAACTCTAATTTTCAAATACCATTTTCACTTGAAATTTTTTCACTTTTTTTTGGAATTTTACAATTCTTATGTCCAAACGCCACTATAATTTGATGAATGTTTTGCACTCCAGAAAGAATCAAAGTCAGCAACCTTCATGGTGTGCTGACTTGCAAGTTAATATATCTCAACATTTGACTCTCAAAAGCATAAAAAATATGTATAAGAAAACATAAAGGCCTTAGCCAAAAACTTTGTAAGCTTTTCTTTGAAACAACATGTCTCAACTTCCACTGTGTCTTGGCAAAATATTTTTTTGATAACTGAGAAATCACTGAGGGCTAGCTAGCGCATGGTTCGAAACTTTGTGGATAATGGGCCTGCAGATTCGAACCACTACACTTAAATATCAGGTGACTTTTGGTCCATAGGAAGATTCGACCTCTTGGTATGCACATAATCAAAATAGCACGCGCTATGCTCTGCTGAACCAAAGCCTTGGGAGGTGTGTTTTGACAAAAAAAATTCTACACTATGTTGCAGGTAGCCAATAAGAAAAATGCCGGATCTACTTTATCAAAGAAAAGTACAAGATCTAACTAGCAAAAAGTGCAGGACACTATAATAAATTGAAGTATGGTAAGTGAAATTTCCCATTGAAAAGGTAGAACAATGCTTACCTCAACATGAGCTTCAGTGCTTATGTCATTGGCAAATTGAATGAGAGCAAGTTCTAAGTTGGACTTTGTAACACGGCATTCAGTCAGGATAGGATGCAACGTGTTTAAATCTGTCTGGAACTTCTTAATACCCTACAGACCACAGGCATAATGAGTCAACAACCATTGTACAAGTTGGAACTCCAGCTACTACTTGCTTCAGACATATATATCAGCTGAATTTCATCATTCTGATTTTGAGAAAGCAATTGATAAAAAGATACAATTGGGCGGGGAAATGACAAGACAGCTAAACACAAGGATAGCTTGCAAAAACCATCATGATTCACTAAATGACTGATAGCATACAGAAATGCTATAAAAATATGGTATTCATTATAGTGGTGAAAATAATGATTTACAACTGAAATAATCCGCCGACAAAAGCTCCAATAAGATATCTTAAATTAGAGGAATTGATCAAGATTCCAGCGTTCATGATAAGTAAAACTGTGTTTGTGACCACATTGTCATCTGCGCCAAACAAAGGTTGTGCTCTCTAATGAAATTTTCTAAAGAAAGAACAAGGCTCCTTATAAAGTGGGTGCTTTCTTGGCTGGTTCAGAAGGGGGATGTCTGACTTAACACAACCTTCAGAAAAGGGGGTTTCACAATTGCAGCAGGTGTTCGTTGTTTCGGGAGCAATATGAAGGTGTAAATCATTTATTTCTCCATTGCAATGTCACTTCACCAAGTTGGGATACCTACAGTCATGTGCTTGATAAATTGGAAGGAATATAATCGCGGAATCTTTGAGGGAAAAAAGAAAAAGTTACTGGTTTCAAGTACAAAAGTATTTTTTTGCTCGCCTTTTGTTGTAACATTTCTGTTGAATGGTGTAAATAATGATGTTACCGCCATGATAATTTTACTTAGCTCATCACACAACTTGTAAATAGAACAAGTTTTGCCTGTAATATCTCCTAACACCTTCTTGCTGTTGGGGTCTATCAACGAAATTACCTTCCATAAAAGTATCTCACAAGACATTGAATTCTCGATAAGCATGCCAACAAACTGTCCAGTAGATGCATTTATCCCCAATGTGTCCCCCATCTTCCTTCTGAGTTTCAGACCTTTACCCTCTACTAATTTCAGTTATTCCTAGGAGGAATAAATGGAAAGTCTACCCTCATCAGTTCACTAAATCTGTCTTAAGGCGTGGATAGACGGGAAGAATCACCTAGTGTTTTTTGCCACAGATGGGATTTGAGCCTGAGACCTCATGGTTCTCAACCCAGTTTTGACTAGGGATGGGCATAAAATCCAAAAAACCGAAAAACCGGACCGCACCAAATTAATTCGGTATTTCGGTTTCAGTTCTTCCAATAGCATCATGTTTGTAAGATCTAAATGTCTTATCAGTTATCCCTAAAGAGAAAATTAATTCAACAGACTCTGTTTTTGCTTATGTGTTGATGCTTTATTTCTTTGAACTATTTGTCATTTTGTCGTTTCACTAATGTTTTGTTTTTGTGTATAGGATCAGTCTGTAAATGATGTATCTATCATACTGCTAAAAGTTTATATTTGACTCTACTACTCTAGTCTCAATTTGTGTTTATGTCTCTTTTAATTTTTCATAGATGGCAGATGAAAGTAGATAAAATGATGCCGGTTCAGCTGAAAGCTTACCTAATACCGAAGATAGTACTGCCAACACGATTATCACGCACTATGGGATGCCCTAAAATGCAAAAACTGTCGTGACTTTGGGATGAAAGGAGCGACCTTAAGCAATTTTTTTTGATAAACTACAAATTTCGATCTCGCATATTTTAGAATCCTTGGCAAGTCATTGTAGCCCTCAGCCATTCCTAAAAGGTGTGGTAATTACTCAGCACTATCATATCTGGATTAATTATTGTGAATTTACTGGGAAAAAACATGGTAAATCTTATATCATTCCTTGCAAGCCCTCGCAAACAATAGGATGAGACATAAACTTGAAATACTGCCAGTTTAGAATCCTTGTTGCTATCAGTACCAAGCCCATGCAAGAGACATAATAATGGTGTTCATGGGATGAGACATAAACCTGAAATTCTGCTGGTTTAGAGTACTTATTGCTATCTGTATTAAGCCCATGCAAGAGAAATAGCAACGGTGTTCCCATCTCTTGGTACTGATTAGACAAAACTTCCTTAATCTCATCAGTATAGAAGACCTGGGTAACCTTGTACTTTTCCTGAAAAAGACCAATGTAAGAGTAAATCAAATCCTTGCATTGCCTTCCACTTGATGAACAGGATCACCCATGAAATACAAGTTCGAAAAATGAATAGTTACCTGGAAGTGAGTAAGTGGTTTTATTTCTCCCATCCAAACAGCATAGTCAGCCGGTAACCTAGGAGCAAAGAGCATAGATTTCCTACTTGCAATATCCTTCATTAAGAAAGCAATATTCAAGGATGCTTCAAATTTATAAGCACTAGAAAGTTTAGATAATAAGGTTCATCGGCCACTCTCTCCATTAAATTTCCTTACGTTAAAACATTAACACACTTAAGAAAGGAAGAATAATGCATACTCCTTGAAGTTTCGACTCATAGCACATCACTCTCGTGGACTTTTACTCATGATTTGTGTAACAAAACTATATCCTAATCTACATGGAAAAGTTTTGACCCCATATGTACTGAGATTTTAACTTTTTTCCTTCTATTTATGTAAGAAAATTTACTTATGGTATTTGAACATTTTTTAAAAAATTACTGGATGAATCACATCCACATTCCACATGTTTAAACTATATCCTCATTAAAAGACTGAAAAACTACATAAATAAAATTTCTACTGACTTTTAAGCTCGTTTTTTTTAATTTGTTCATTCTTCTTTAGATTTATAAGCATTTAACTTTATTATCCGCTTAAGTGCGTGATAATAATTCGAACAGTTGATTGGAGGAAAGTAAGCTTAGATTTTTTTTTTTTATAATCCTAGGTAATGGGAAGATTGACGAACATGTCACACATTGTATTGGAGCGGGATGAATGAAATGGAGGCTCGCATCCGAGGTCGTAGGGTACCACTGAGTCTTAAAGGTAAGTTCTACAAAGTGGTGGTTAGACCAACTATGTTGTATAGGGCGGAGTGTTGGCCAATCAAAATCTCTTACATCCAAAAGATGAAAGTAGCGAAAATGAGAATGTTGATGTGTGGGCATACTAGGAAAGATAAGATTAGGAATGAAGATATTTGGGATAAGGTTGAAGTGGCCTCAATAGTGGACAAGATGCGAGAAACGAGGCTGAGATGGTATAGGCATGTGAAGAGGAGGTGCACTGATGCACCAATAAGGAGGTGTGAGACATTGGCCATAGTGGGTCTGAGGAGAGGTAGAAGCAGACCGAAGAAATATTGAGGAGAGGTAATTAGAAAGGAAATGGCATAGTTGCAGCTTGCCGAGGATATGACCTTTGATAGGAGGGTGTGGATGTCGAGAATTAGGGTAGAGGGTTAGTAGGTAGACACACGGTTTCCTTTTCATATAAGTAGTATTAGTATTACGCACGCCTTCTCTTATTCTTAGATTTCTAGTATTAAATGTTGTTTGCTTTCTGTTGTTGCTGCTTCTTTTCCATGACTTTGCCACTATTATATTTCTTTATATTTCTTTTCAGCCGAAGGTCTATCGGAAACAGTCTCTCTAACTTCACAAAGTAGGGGTAAATTCTGTGTACACACTACCCTCTCCAAACCCCACTCGTGAGATTTCAATGGGTATGTTGTTGTTGTTGTTGTATTTTATTCTTTTTCTTTCAATGAAAGCTAAGAAAATTTTCATTGCAGTTGGCACTCAGAGACTGCTGGTTAAAAGAATATGTACAAGGGCAAAAGTTTCCATGATAAGCCATATCGGGGATCTAAAAAGTCTTATCATCTTCTATTATTATTTACGAAGGCAAATTTACACCAAGAAGACAAGAAATATAAACATTTTTCCTCTAATACTATGTGAAATAGCAACTTTGCTCTCCTCGAAGCATCTCATTTCTTTACTTCCATAGGACCCAAAGGATGCATAAGGGGATTGAATTCCACAGCTTCATGCTACATCTCTGCACCTCAGTCTTCTCTAACTGTATAAAGCTTCTATATATTGGCAGGATAACTCATCTTATATTGACATGCGACTGGACAGTGAATAAGTTGCAGCCCTTTTCCTTTTCTTTTTCATGTAAATAGCATCTACTCTACAGCACAGAACATTTCAATAGCAAATTTGCTAGTGTTAAATAGGCAGTGTTAACAGCAATAGATCTAAAACACGCCTCTGTAGCAGATACTTTAACTTTCTAAATCAGCTTCCAGGATGTTCTTCATTTTTTTTCGCAGATAAAGTTTTGTACTCTGGCCTTACAGAATACTGCCTCTGCTATCGTGCAGCCATTATAGAGAATCTTTTCCTCCAGACGACCATTTCTTCTCTTCCAGTTTTTTAACATATTCAAAAAAGCTGTTTCTTTCCAAGTCATGACATTTTTTTCTCAGGGATTGTTCCATTGTTCCCAATTCTGAAAGTAGGGATAAGGTCTGTGTACATACTACCCTCCCCAGACCGCACTTGTGGGATTCAACTAGGTTCTTGTTGTTTGTTACATGATCCAAATCAAGCTCACTAATTAGGTGAAATTTCTTCTGTTAACTATTTACTGCCAATATAAGTTTCTTTCAATCCATCAAGTTGCCTCTCCAACTTTTTCTGCAAAGGAGATAAGGACACAATATAGGTGGGAAGATTGTATAAGGCACCTCCAAAAGACAAATATTGTTGTTTCCATGCGGAAAGTCTTTCTCAAGCTTCTCTACTATTCCCTGCTATACTGCAAATGATTTATGCTTGGAACCAAAAGGGAGACAAAAATATGTGGAAAGAAGCAACTTTGCAACCCAAAATGTAACACCAGTAGCAAGTTCTCAACCTCATTATCTCCATACGCAGCTTTTGCAAGCCTGAGACAGCATCAAAAGCTAATAAACCCCTTTAAGACGCATCAACTTACTTTCCTCCGCACCACAAAAAGCTATGCATCATCAACAGAGAAAATATAATCTACTATAAAATATGTGACATATTAAAGTTGTTCTTACTTTCAAATCAGAACTCCTTGATCCAGCCACCTGCCAAGTTCCAGCATTCTACTGAATACCTTCATTACCAAAATGAATAGAAAGGTGAAAGGTATCACCTTGACAGAACCCTCTTTGGGAGCTTAAGAATTCTGTTGGTTCACCATTTACTAGGGAAGTGTACTTCACTCACAACTATTTCTCTCCAAATTCCATCTTCCTCAAAGGGCAACTAGAAATGTCTAGTTTACATGGTCATACACCTTGTCCACATCTAGCTTACGGAGGAGCCTAATTTCTTTTGTTTTATTCTCTCATCCAAGCACTCATTTGCCACCAAAGCAGCATATGTTATCTGTCTGCCTGTGACAAAGGTCATCCGTAGCTTAGAAATCAATTTAATTAACTTTTTTAGCCTTTCTGCCAATGCTTTGGATACGATCGTAAAAATTCCTATCACCAAACTTATGCTCTATAATCAGTAAAACATAATATAGTTTTAATAAAAAATATAATAAAGCAAATCTGTCTGTATGTAGATTAAGTGTAGCTTTTGTTACACAAAATTAAGAGAAAGGAGCTTTGGATAAAGGGGAGATATGTGATACATGATGAAACCTCAAAAAAAATGATTGCATAAAAAGGTTCACTGAGGATGACTAGAATTAAACAATAAGTAGAATGGGGTTATCTATGTGCCTTAAACCTCTTTGTAAAAAAAATCTGATATCTGGTACATGTTCCTTGCTATTTTTGGCATCAGTTGGGTTATGCCACAGAGCATCAAAGAAGCCTATAAATGCTGGTCTCTTTGGAAAGTTGATAAGTCCGTCAGGAAAATCTGGCAGATGGTTCCTGCCTGCATCTTTTGGTGTGTCTGGTCAGAAAGGAATCACAGGTGTTTTGACGGGATATCAACTCCTCCTATGGTGTTTAAGGCTAGATGTCTTCTATGGTTGTATAGTTGGCATAATTTAGTTCCTACTTCCTAATGACTGTCATATGAAGTTTTTTGATTTTGTCAGCTCTTTAGCTCTTGCTTATCTCCTTTTTGTTCATAGCTGACTGTTTTTTTTTATGTACTCTCTTTTGTAAGCCCAACTATTGAATCTTTAAGTAGCTCATCTTTCCCTTCTTACCCTTTTTTTTTTTTGAATAAGGTGAAGTACCCTAAAAGAATCAGTACCAAGGAGCTACGACAAAGTTGACAAATTTTAAGAATATTTCTTATCCACATTCCTTCATTGACTTTAAGAATCCAACAGAAAAAGTACCACAAAACAAAACAGGAAATTTCGCAATTGATCATTCTGGAATGGGAGAATATGGGTCTCTCCGTCCCTTCAACCAAACATACAATTAAATTTAGGGAAAGCGCCAATCTGTCAAGAAAAGGTTGATAAAACATTTTCATAGCTCTGCAACATCAGTTAACACATCATAAGCTACTTCTCGACATGGAATTACTCATTTGAGCACCATCCAAGAATCTTTAAGAAAGAAAAAAATTCAACATTTATTGATATCATATCTTACAATAGCTCCATAAAATCCAGGCTCTTGTACTCCAAACAAGTAAGCGAAATAGCTCTCCTGTCTACAAACAAGCCAGAAGTTAGTAACTAGTCCAATCATCCACCTCAGATGAGGAGATAATTGCTATAATACAACACTTAGATAGATGGCCATTAATACCTGAACAATTCGAGGTGATCGGTGCAATGACGAGTTTGCTCCTCGCCACCCTAATTCAAATTTTAAAATCGAGATAAGTCAGAAGAGAAAGCTGAAGTGAGTGAAGGTAAAGACAAAAAGCAAGTAATGAGAACCTGAAGGAGAACAAAGCCTTGGAGAGGACGAGAGGAAGAAGATAGGTGCTCGCGCAGAGAGTTGAGAAGCTTCTCTCGATTGAGTGAGTGGAGTTCCATGGGAATCATCGGAGGAGACAGAGATGATGATGAAGAAGAAGGAGAAGAAGAAGCCATTAGAGCGATCAGGCCGTGGCCCTAATCGATGAGTTGGGAAAAACAGCAGATTACACTTCCGACTGTTTATAATATGGCCGTGAGCCTGCAAGTTTTTCCCAACCTGGGAATACTTACAGCCTCCGTTTTACACAAAATAATCAAGTTACCTAATAAATCAAAATTTAATTTAACAGCGGACTAAAATTGAAGTTACATACTTCACCATTTAATCTTAATGAAGTGACAAATGTGTCACTAAAAGTTAATTATCTTATATGTATTGTTTGGTGTAAACATGGGAATGAATTTTTGCTCTAACTTTTACTCCAAACATAGTTAATGATTCGGTAGGAACATGATGCATATTTCGAATTAAATCAAAATAAATTAACTTCTAATAAATTTTGGTATTTCAAAACTACCTGAAAAATTACAATTAGCAGTCTTTCTCGTGTTAAAATGACTAAAATGATCCATTTTAGAATAGTATGACAAATTCACGGAATCCTCTTCATATTGTTATCAGTACATTACACTTCACTATGAAATTTGCCCATATTTTCTATTCAGTTTTTTCTTTATTGGTACTCAATTATGATATTTTTTGGGATAAGTTCCACATAACTTAAGAATTTTTCCTCCATTAGTAGTTCAAATCTTACATGAATACAACTTGATTTTGCAAAGATTTCCTGCGTTACTTATCAGTTTCCCCAAAAAATGCTTATAGATGTATTTGTGAGCACATATCTAACTTTGATGTCATTTTGTACCTTTTTAGATGTCCAAGATGACTTTTAAACTTCAAATGGACTCATTTGTGGGATCTATTGAATTAAATTGCTTCCAATTTAGATCATAATAGTAGGTACTTATCAAACTTTGGCTGCAAAGACAATGTTCTGAATAATTTGATGGTTAAATCTCATTATTTGATGTGTGAAAGCTCAATACAACAACCTATTTGGAAGAGAGAGTAAATTTCTGGACTCACATGAGATTATTCAAATGGTTCACAACCACTCTGAAGTGTACTTGCAGGACAACAGATCCTATTAACTGTCGTATTGACATAATATCTCAGCTAACTATAAAATAAAAATCCAATATCAAAATATGCACAACCAAACTTTCCGTCAGTGTTTTGAAAAAGCATAGGAACCCTTGCTAACTCCATATCTATTCTATTAGAATAGTTGGGATCCAATATAGTCAGTCGCATTAAATCTCCAAAGAAAATTTATTTTCAGATTTACTCTCATGGATAATGGATGGAACTATATTACAAACAAGAATTGAATGTATCTGCCATTTAGTACATCGTTTGCATGTGCCCTGATGCCAGTCCAGAGCACACGACTAGCTGTCATAGCCCCCCTCAGAAAACTTGTTCTCTGGATAAAAGACAACGATAACTTGATTTCCACCAAATTTTCTGTCGTTCAACCCTTGTTGAGCTCTTGAAGCATTCTTCACATCAGCATACTCCAAAAAGACCAAAAATGAGCAACGAACATACACAAATCAATAATCCGACTAAAACTATCAACGCGAGTGTTTACACTGATAAAACATCATCACATGTTGCTGAAGAGAAAAACAAATATATATTAAAAATATAACTTTGAAATTTGAATTATTCTTCCAACATAATAAATGTTCCTCAGATAAAACGCCATTTTCTACTTCAATCACCAGGGATCTAGCTAGTAATTAATGGCAGAATTAATATTGGTTTTAAACTAAAATTTTTTGACTCTATGTATATCTATTGTAATGTGAGTAAACTGATCCATCCCACTAGAATTTTGTGTTTTTATATTCCTTTCTGATTATTTAGTATATATTTGTTGATCTTATTCATGTGACGTTCAAACATATCAATACTAGTATCATAAGTTATTTTATAAAATTAGTTTAAAATTAATTAATAGTAGTAACCTATAGCATTCGCCTAAAACTCATGAATATTGAGATTACAATGTCACATACTTATAAGAGGGGATTTTGACGGCTTATTAACGCCTTTTAGCTTTTATTTTAGTTTAAAAGCATTGAATTATATTCTTGAAACTAATAAAATTGTGCAAAATTGCAGGAATGATGGAAGTTGATCTCCTGAGATGAAATCCGACTCAAAAAGGAGTAGTCCAAGGCACATGGCAATAAAGGGTGCAAGAGCACAACTGTGTGGTCTGTAGAAGGATATTTCAGCTGCCCTAAGGTGTATCAATCATTCATCAATTGGGACTAACAATTACCCTTTACATAAATGGATTATCAACAACACAAAACCTTTTGAGTGCCATAGTTCTATTGCGATACTAGAGCATCAAGAGTTGACTTAATTTCACCAAGGAAGCTTGCTCTATTACGTAGGTCATAGTGGAACCCAAACTCCTTCTCCTCTACTCTCCATAAGCAAATCTCACTTTAAAATTGTAACACTCAATACAAGGATTGTGAAGAAGTATGCTCTTCTCTCTCAAGGGAATGTCACAAGTTCGGCTCTAAGTACCATAAGCTTGCCCTTTATGTAAATTACCACTAATGTAAGCTCACTCAACTCGAAATCATATAGGGCTTTTGCGGGAATGTAATGAAGGCTTTTGGATCGAGGTAGGATTTATCGGCATATGAAGATTTTATCTTTCCTTAAGCACTCCATTTTCTCATTTCGGCTCATACTTTCTTGATTCTTTGAGTCATTTTCTTCTTCCTTAGGGGAACTAGAGAGACATACTGTCACTCTTTCTTTTTCATGATAATAATTTTTCTCCATTTTTAATCATTCCATGCCTTTCATCATTACTTTGTTTGAATCCCTTCACTTTTCTATCTTATTCACTTTCTTTTTATTTTTTTTGGCTTTTCTTTCTTTTCTTTTGCCTTCCCTTTTCTTCATTTATTTTTGTTCTTTATACCTTTTACCACTTTCAAATTCTTCGTCTCTTCCCCAAACTTATGCTTTTGCTACTTGTCTATCAAGAATGCCAAGAAAAGATCGGGTGCTAAGAAAGGGTCATCATAGAATGGATAAAGGCTTGTAATGTGGTTATTAAAAGAAAAAGGGCTTCGGCTCAAAGGGGTTGACTAGGGATATCATATTGGTAGACTAAGGAAGCTTTCCAGTTTCAAATTGGATCAAGGAGATCCTACAATCATTTTTCAAGTCGAGCTACACTTAGAATTTCGTCTAGACAAATATTCAGGGCAAGTTCTAGACTTATTGGCACAGGATTTGGATTTGCAATTCAATACCTCACCTCTCAAGCTGCTGGATCGTTAAAGAGATAGAGTCGAGGGCCCACAACAACCCTAGCTAATATTGAACATCACAAATGACTCAAAGAAACCACTCGATGATTGTTTTAGTCAACACAAGAGTCTAAATGTCACAACTAGCAATATTCTTTGCCAATCATCTTGTTTCTAACCATAAGGTCGAAGGTAAATGCGTTAGTACCAAGTGAAGCTTGCTTGAGACACTTTTATTCATTACTACTATTCACTCCAAAACATAAATAAAACGGACTCAATCCCTTAAGAAGGTTGTCACGCCATCCATCATCGGGAAGAGCCACCCGGTTCATACAACATCCACCTCTGGAAAGAATCATGGCGTTAAGAAAATCAAAGGCTTATTGTTCACATAAAACGTAAAAAGAAGCTAACAACTTAAAAAGAAACTACTAAAGGAAACAAGAAGCTATGAAGTAAAATTACGAAAGAAGTTATGAAGTAAACTACGAAAATCAAACTGAATATATACAAACTTGAAGTAAAACGAATATATACATAAATGAAAATGAATATATATACATCAAATGGTAAAAACATATGCATACCAAATGTTAAAGTAACGAATATATACATACCAAAAGTAAAAATAACAAATATATACATACCAAAAGTGAAAATAAAGAGAAGTAAAGTTAAAGAAAAATAGTATCATAGTTATTACATGCCAATGTCATCAAATTATCACCAAAATGGACCATCCCCCCAAATAACGGATAGCATTGTCCTCAATGCTAATATCAAAATAAGGTCAGGGAAAGGATTAGAGAGTAAAGAAAACTCCCTATACGGTCTCTGTCTGCATCGGGTCAGACATATAATTGGGGTCCTCGGACTGCATAGGATCATAAGCTCCCTCTAGGTCCTCTAACTAGATCTCCACATCCTCTGACTGGGGGACCATGGGGTTGCAGAGCATCTGGATCATCTCCTCAGCAATATGTGTAGTGGCAACTGGCTCCTCAAACTGGCCAGCTGTTGCAACTGGTGCCTCTTGCTCTGCTGCCTGTGCTTTTAGGGCTCACTCATCTATGAGCAAGTCCAATGGGATGTATCCAGTAGATGTAAACTTCTCTAGTTCCTTCTTCAGCAGCTCTACTAACTCCTTTGAGGCCTGAGTTTTCTTCATCTTCTTCACTTGCTTGCCCGATCCTTGATAACCTTTCAATGTGTATCCAAAGTCTGCAGGATCTTCTTCTGGTTGTCCAGGAGCTTCTTCTAGTTGTCCAAAAACTCCTTCAATGAATCCTCCACTGATGGAGGTACCTGAAGTTGGGCTAGGGCTGACTGTGCTATTACTGCACTAGATAAGACATACAACTTTGATGTAGCTGCCTGCCTCCAGTTGTTGATGCTGGATAATGTCTGAGAAACCCACAGTACAGTCTGAGGGTAAGTGGAAGACGAGGGCACAGATAATGGCATGGTGATGGATGGTCTGCATGAAGGAGGAGGCATGGCAGCTGAAGATCCCTCTGCTATGGCCACTACCCTTGGCTCTTCAGACTGGACAGTGGAGGTAGTGGCTTTTCCCTTTGCTTTAGAGTTGTCCAGTCCTTGGAGGCTATACCAAGAGAAAGGCTTTTTAGGCTTCACCTTTGTGTAATAGTGCCTCTTCTCGACCCCTTCGTCCCCGAGATACATGGTGATGAAATTGGGGTAGGGATATGACCTTTATTCTTTTCCAACTACCTTGGAGATGTGGTAGGACATGAGGTTCCCCATATTGATTGGATACCCCGCCATGATGGAAGCTATCAAGATCGCCCGAGAGAGTGGGAGGACATTATCATGGTGGCATGGGTCCAGCTGGCTAAACACAAATGTGGACCACCCT